TGAGATTTAAATCCAACCTAATGGACTGAAATAACTTTGTGTTTTGTTTTGTTTTGTTCTGTTATAGAAATAGATTAACTGATAGACTATATATACATAGAGTAGAGTAATATTTTTATCTTAATTAGGATAATTATTTTGTAGTGGAAGAAGAAATAAGAGAGATTTATGATAAAATTAATGATTTAAAGAATTAGAATACATTTGGAAATATTAGAATGTTATTGCTGGAATATTATGTGTATTTTAGAAGAGGTACCCGAAATGCTAATAATATGTTTATTTAAGATTAAATTGGATTATGGTAATTGTAAATTAGTAAAGTTTAAAAACAGGATTTGGATCTATATAAATGTAATCTAGAAATGGATTATTTTAAATATGTTATACTATTTGAGGGAAACAAAGAGGGAACGTCTAATGTATTAATTTGAGTTTATGTATATATATATTATATATGATTTTGTTTTTGGATGATTGATTAACCCATCACCACGGTGTTTCTCGAGCATCGTTGTAAAAGTTAAAAAACCAATAAAACTTGTTTAAAAAAAATAAAGAAATAGAATCAAGATCATGTGAAGTGTTAATACCACTTTATAATGCCTTGGTAAGACCACACTTGGAATATTGCATCCAATTTTGGTTACCACGATATAAAAAAGATGTTGAGACTCTAGAAAGAGTATAGAGAAGAGCAACAAAGATGATTAGGGGACTGGAGGTTAAAACTTATGAAGAACGGTTGCAGAAATTGGGAATGTCTAGGTCAGTGGTTCTCAACCTTTTTATACGGCGACCCCGGTTATAAGGACGCAGCACGCATGCACGGCGCTGCCCCATGCGTGGCGCCACCCCCATGTGCAGTGTGCATGCGTGGCGCCGCCCCCATGCGTGGCACGCATGCGCGGCGCCGCCCCCTGAGGGGAAAAAATGGCGGATCGCATTGTTTGGCGACCCCCATAAAATGGTCGTTCGACCCCAAATGGGGTCGCGAGCCAAAGGTTGAGAACCACTGGTCTAGGTTAAGATGAAAGGGAGGGGAAATAATGTCTTCTTTTTAGATGGTAGCACCTACGTGACCTCGACTGATCTTGAAAACAACTCAGCAGGATCAGATCAGATTGATATTTCAAAGGGACACCACAGGAAACAAGCCTGGGCAGTCACCTTGATTGAAAATCAGAAGCCTATTCCAGAAGAAAGAACTATCCAGCCACTTCCATGTTATAACAGTTACTTTTTCACCCCTCAGAATAAATTTTTGGCTCACTGCATTTTCTCAAGCACTTCAGAAACAATAATGGCAGAGATGGGAGGGTCGTGAAACGCTAAAGCCTCTATATATTGAGCTGCTTTGGGTGTGTGGGTGAGGAATGGGACAGGAGTGCTGCTGCTGCTGCTACTGTCCTTCCTTGAAGGGAGAAAACAAACACTTGATTTCCACCCACAATATAGCTTCATAATAAGAATAGATGCTGCTCCCCCACATTTCAATCCAAAGCTATCAGTCAAAAAGTTAAGTGGGTATAAGCTAGAGCCATTCCAGAAAAGACTTTTGAAAAGTGGCAAAAATACAGTAAAACATATTATGTGGGAGAGGATGTGGAAGACAAATGTAGGAGAGATGGAGTGTTGGGAGGGGTGGATGTGGAGTGAAAAGAAAAGCACGTGTCTGGAGAGGTCTGTGTAGAGGACATAGCAAATGGCCTTGAAGGATGGGAAGAATACAAAGAATACCAAGGCAATGGTTAGATAAGAGGAACCTGAGCCAACTCAAGAAAGTAATTTGAGAAAACATCTCAGATTGTCCCCTCCCTCATTCACACAGAGATAAAGGGAGAGAAAAACATTCAAGATTGGCAAGATTCTCTTACTATAGTTGTTACAATAAAAGTAGTCTTGACCTACATGGAACTGGTCTGCCTTGTAGGACTGACAGAATGCAACCAATATAGAGTAGACACAGCCAGGGCTCAAAGAAAAAGCACAATAGTTAATATACTTCCCCTAATCCTCAGCAAATTGAGCCCCCAGTGATCACATGGGAAGTGGGCCAATGCTCAATTCTGCCCAAACAGCCATTGGAAAGAAGAAGATCACTTTGTTTGCTGGAAATCCATACGTCTCCAGTCCAAAATCAGAACATGAGGGCTAAAGGCTGTTTTTCAGTGTCAGCAGGTGGGTATGTGCACCTTTGTAGTGATTCCTCCTCCTAATCACTCTTTAGTTTCAAGGTTCTGCCTAAATAGGGAACATAAGCAAAATCCTCCTAATCTTTGATCTTCCTAAACTGAGCAGCAAAGTCTGATTGGATTTCTATTGTGTTCGTTTATATTTATGTAGAACATTATGCTGTACTTTAAACAGTAAGTGGGGGCATTGGAGATCTATCAAAAATACATAATGCAGGTTTTTTTAATGCACATTTAAATACTCAGAACATATTTTGATTAAACCTCAAAATGAGATGCAAAGAGATAAAGGCCCTCCATGCTTCAGTTTGCAGGGACTGATACTTAGTTCAAGCTAGGTTTGCCTTTAGTATTATTAGGCTAAAGGAGATTATTTCACTATTACTATCCCTTCTCTTCCAAGTGATGTCAGCGTTGCTAAAATTATTTGTTCTATAGGGGACAGTTTTGTTTAGTTTCATTTTATAGGGAGAATCTTCCTTGTATATGTGTGTTTTCCCCTTAAAATACTAGAAACCTTTGTATACATCTGAACTGGCTGGTCCATCCTTCTTGTTTCTCGTGGACCCTGTTTCAGTTTTATTAAAGTGGGGATTCATCACCAAAACCATGACTGTAATAAATGTGACTTCTCCTCAGACCCAAAACAATGATTGCAAAAGTGTCCTATGAACAGATCTACCTGCAAGGATTTCCCTTAATGTTTGTTCTTATGATATTTGAATTCCAGTACAATATTACTGGTGAGATAATGCTGGAGAAAAAATTGAAAACATTTTGTAAAAATAGCATTTATTTTTGGCTCCCAAGAGTTCCAGAAAGCCTTCCCTGTAAGTAACATGATGACATAATAAAGAGCCTACAATCTTCATAACTTTTTGTTAATCCAAAATCAAATTATACATGCATCATCTAATTCATCCTTATCCACCTCTACCATTGCCCAACTCACAAAAGCAACCATTTTAGATTACCGTGCTTTTAAATGATCAAGTCTAATCCATCTATAGTCTTTTGAGTAGGGTGAATTATAAAATAAAGAAAATGCATGGCATTATTTTCTTCTTTCAAAATTCAGGCATCCAGAGATAAAAATGTAAGCTACTTCCAAGCCAATGAACACCTGCCAGTTCTCTGCCTTGCTACAATAATCTGAGCTAGACATTTTGCAAAGATTTCCTTCTCTTCCACAGCCTCAAAATTTAGGATTTTCTTAGTATCATGCAACACAATCATATGCAAGAAACTGTACTGAAAAAAAGTATGCTGCCATTAAAAGAGCATCTTTGCCCTTCATTACTGAGAATTCATAGCTCTGGCAAGGTTGCAATTCTTATTGACCAGCTGAGAATTGATAAACCAGAAAGTTAGTGTAGTCTACCTGAAGGGAAGGCACTGATAGCAGAATCACAATGTTCAATTCTATGTTATATAAGCCTTTTTGAATTGCAGGTATAATCTTCATTGTTCCCAGATCTAGCTTTTTACGATGGCACTGGAACTGTATGGTTATTGAATAGGAAAGAAGGGTAGCTAAACCCACTCTGAAAACTCTAGGGTGATGTTAATGCTTATATGATAATAATTGCTTTGTAAAAATACAACCAAACCTAATTTCACCTCAGAAGAAGGTTTTTAACACAGAAAAAAAGGAGGAGGTAAAAGTCATCACCTTTTTCTGAGTTATCATATTTTAGTTTGTTCCCCTCTTTTCATAAACTCAGATTTTAGTGACATTCTGCATGCAAGCAAATGCTCTGAATTTTGCTGTAAGATGGAAAATCATTGGGGAGAACAAAGTGGAAAAGTAATGAATGAACAAGGATTAAGCCCTCTTCCTTCGCCACTTCTCCAGGACGAATTTTTTAAAAAGTCATTCAGGCTAAAATTACAAATATTCTCCCATAGCACATAATTTAATTTAAGAAACAAATAAACATGGAAAGTGAAATGTGCCAATGCCAGTGAAATGACACAGGGAAAATAACCTTTAACATTGACATTGACAGATTAATATAGTTTGAAGTTGTTAAATTCTTACTTTGGAAAGCACTTAATTTTTATAAGCACTAGATTTTTAAATCTAAACCTAAATTTAAATCTAGTTCATAAAAAAGGATTTTTTTTAGCTAAATCCATGTTATAAGTGATACTTAGTTCAAAAAGTTGAAGCTTTGCTGAATTCAACAGTGTTTAGAGAATGAGAGAATTCCATTCTTTTTCACTAGTGTTCAAACATGATTTCCTATCATGAGAACAAATTTTCTGACTCCCTCTCCCATCCCAGATCTGGTAGGCTCTGTATAATTTCTAACCTATCCTGAATTTCAGAAATAAATATTTTCTAATATGTACATATGAAGCAATGGTTTATTCATGAATAAAGAAAAATCAGTTAAAGGTATGTCCAAATTCAAGCTGCGCTATGGTTATCCAACTCAGAATCTCTTGGAACAGTTGGTGGAGCTGAATATAGATTCAAAGCTTTACTTGCAGCTCCAAGTACAGTGAACAGAAGGCAAAAACTCCTAAATATCTAGCTGTGTATCAAGTATGTTTAATCTAGAAGCTTCATGCTACTTGCCAATCACAGGGTCGTTGTCAAGGCATGTCATAAGCATCCCTAGTTTATGCAAACTGCTGATTTCATTCCTTAATGCAAGTACACAAATTGACATTTCTGTGCTTCCTGATATTCTGGTTCCATCCTTCATTAACATTTGCTTAAGTCTTTGCTTCAATATGTCCAAGGGAAGAACCAATCTTCCTGCCTTATGCTCCTATTCAACCCATCTGCTGGCTTACTTGAGGTATTATATCGCACTCCAGAGAAATACTCAGGGCAGGGATGCGCTACCAGCTGTCCTGCAAGGCTGCGTGGCCAACATGTCCCAATTAGATCCACTAAGGCATTGCACTGAGGGCCTGCAGGGAAGGAAGAAGAGATTAAATAGAAAAATATTGACATCACATATTATATACTTTTTTAGAAGATTGGGACAATTTAGTATAATCCTGCAGAAATGGGATAAGGGAGGCATAACACAAATGGTTTGGTATGCACATTCCATTCTTTTTCAAAAGCATCTATATCTTTGGTCATATGACTCTTGCTGAAACCAAATGAGGTTATCTTATGATTTACATGGCAGTTGTACATCAAAATGCTTCCTGTGGAGAAATATTTGTGATTTATTGAGTTTCCTTGTTGATATCAGATTGACTGGCATACTTGGAGGAAAAGGTCCTTTAGATTAAGCTCCTGGTTAAATTGACTGGCAGTATCGTTGTTGTCTTTCTCAATATATGTGATCTGATTCTCCTGCTAGACATATTGGAAATTATTTGCCTGGAAGGCATCTGTTCTGTAGAGCATTTGCAAAATATTCTGATTGCTGCAAATGGAGAAGAAGAATGATAGTTAAAATCTATGCCAATTTTTTTATCAACCTTGGCTATTTTAAGAGGTATGGACTTCAACTCCCAGAATTCCTCCCACCTCTTTTTCTCTGAAAAAGAAAGAATGTTAATTAACTTATGGGCTCTGGTATTAAATGAGTTATTTCAGAAGACTTTTGGAATTAGTTCTTGCAAAAGATATGAAACCAGGATGAAATCAACAAATTTTTTCTCTAGCATGGCCTAGAATTGACCTGAACATATACACACTTGCATGCACACACACAGAAATATGCATAATCAGAAAAAATGTATCTTTTAACCTCACCACTCATTCATCCATAATAGAAAGCAGAATATTACTACTATTACTACTAGTAGTACTACTACATGCTGCCTCTGCAAAGAAACTAAAAAAAAACACTAGTTGCAAGAAGATTGCACAGACTGACTATAAACAATAGCATGACAAAGTAGCAACATCTGCAAGAAATGCTATTTGTCTTCAAGTAAGAACCAGTTTGTAAGTGACTAGTTGTAAATTGAGGATTATTTATATATTAAACACAAATTTCAATAAAAGAGAAAATATGTAGCCCAGAATTCAACTATTCTTGGTGCTCTTTGAACTTGGCTGTATGCTTGCAGTTGATTCATTACCTGACTAGGAAACAACATCAATCCTAGTGAATATGGGCTTGTTCTCCAGTGAGTGTGGGGTTTGCTCCCTGCACCATATTGGCAGAGCAAGTTACTTTATATAAACTAAGAAGCAAACCTCATAATCATTAGCAATGATAACGTTGTCTAATGAATTATCTAGAAGCAAATAACCAGGGTTAGAGAACACCAAGACTCCATAGTAAACACAAATTGAATGAATTCAGTAGATCTAGAGTCTATTAACTTTATCTGAGATCCAAACTGGACTAAGATACACCTATTTCAAGAAAGCCTGAACTAAAATCCTCTGCAATACATATTAAGCCAAGGTCAATCCAAGTCATTTTGTGAGTTTTACGAACCATTTAAGCCATTGTTAAGTTGACAGTGCAGGCTGGCTAGATAGATGTTTTATTCCATCCTTTCCTGTCCCTGTTTCATCTTTCAATATTTGGTAATAGAGGACACCCATTTCCCAAAGAAGAAAATCTGATGAAGCAAGTGATTTCATTACCGCAGCTAAATTTATTAAAGAGTGTGTTGGCGTATGCCATATGCAAAATATCCAATGACTCTTTTGGTCCAATCCTTGATATTCAGATACTATCAGTCCCTGCAAAAGCCATGGATCTGTTTCTTGTAAGACCTGCCACGTAGATCATGCATATAAAGTCAACTGGCATTAGAATATGCAAGTTTCTTGGAAGGAATACCAAATGGAAATGATATGCATATATATAAAAAGAGGGGATTTTTTTTTACATTGTTTAAATCCTGCCTTTAGTTTTTTTTATAAATAATTTAAGGCAGTGAATATAACTAACACTCTTTCCTCCTATTTTCCCCACACTGTATGATGTGAGTTGGGCTGAGACAATAATTGGCCCAAAATCACCCATCCAGCTTATATACTTAAAATGGAACTAGAACTAATAGTCTCATGATTTCTAACCAGTTGCATTAACAACTGGATCAAACTGGTTCTAATTTGTATTTGTATAATTATATTTTACAAATGCACACCTTTTGGTGAATATTTAAAGCTGCCTCATATTGAGATTATAATCTAGTTTGCTACTACTTCCATTAGTCTAGGTGAGGTCTCTCCCAGGTCTCTTACTATAGATTCATTTTTAAATCAGAGATGCTAGAGACTGATTGTGAGGATTTGCTTCACTGGAGAGTCACATTCTCATCCTTATAGGCAAAAGCAATCATGTCCCTTGTTCCCTCATCCCCAAACATCCCAAATTATTGCTATTCAAATCTTGATGCTCAACTTCTTTAAAGTAAAAATTACCTTTGATTCTCTCCATGGGAGAAGCATATTTGATTTATTTGAAATAGCTTATTGCCCATAATCCCTCATAAAGCCATCGTTCTACACATTAATGAACAAATGCAAAGCAATTAAATATATTTTTGCATAATGCAATGGCCAAATATGTACACAAATAGAGACATAAATTCAAAATTCAATTCGTAGTTCATACCTATTTCTATTTCTGATTTTATGCATATTTAATTAATTCAGTTGTGATTCTCCTTGATTTGGGGAAATAAATTATTTTTGAGATATATTATTTATAGGGGAGAAAAATTAGGAAGAATATAATTATTATGTGATAACATATTTCCTTTTCATTATCATACTACCATGTTTTCTTCCTTTTCAGAGAGATGGAAAATCCAGTTTCTTCTGTCCCTGAGTTGCTTAGAGGTTCAGTTCTTTGCATTTCCAGTTAAAAGAAGCTGCTAACAAGTGAAAAATCTTTGGGTGTGGTTCTTCCAGTCAAAAGTTACAGTAGAGTAACTTCCTGACTTACATGAAGCAGCCCCTTTATGAACATCAGACTGCAGATTTTGCAGTCTCTTTATTTTATTTATTTACAATAAAACTAAAATTTTAAATGGAAAGAAGGAAAAAAACGTAGGGAAGGAAGGGCAACAAAAATGGATAATTAAAAGATAATATCATTATCTGAACCTCTGATAAATTTTTCTGAATGAAGCATCATTATATATTAGGTATCATCTGCAAACACTCTACATGTGCAGATGTGGTTTAAATTGTAATGTACCCTACCAGTTCACATAAATCATACACGGCTCATATGGATGACAGAAAAAAGCTCAGATTGTCTCATCCTGTGGATAAATGACAGAGACAGAGTGCAGGTGGTGACATCTATGTGGCTGGCTTGTCACTTTTTCTTTAAAAAAAATGAAATTGGGACTTCTGCATATCAATATATATGCACAGCTTTTGAGTAATGCTTCTCCTGTTCTATACAAAGGGCCATGATTTTATAAGAGGGGAGAAAACTTTCTCCTAGATTACTAGTTCTATGTTGATTTAAGAATACAAAAAGAGCAATTTGCAGGCTGAGAAAAAATACTTTCTTTGTATCCACCACCCTCTAATTTACAAGAATGTCCTTGTGATATGATCACTGTGCATTTCTGGTGTCTGGAGACAGACAGATTAAAATACTTCCTTCAGTAGCTAATTGAACCCTTAATCAACTACAATTGACCAACAACTGACAGTGTAGAAGACTGAAGGACATGCCTCTTTGTTTTGCATGAAAGAAATTCATACTCATTTACAAAATATATCTAAATAAAGCAAATAAAACATTGTCCCTCCTTCCTTCTTTCATTCTTTCCTTCCCAAATGCACTTATTCACTCTTAATCAATTTATTCTCATTGTTTTGTTAAGTATATTGAGGTAACAGGTGAGATTTATTCCATTTCAGTGCAATTCCCAATACAACACAGATTCCCACTTAGATTGAAGGGAAGCAGGCCAAAGTATCACTATAGTGAAATATAATGAAGTAGTATAGTAGATGCCAAGGGACTGGTAGGATTTTATGTCGCATTAAAATCCGCAAATTATAGTACCTTCCTTCAGCACTTATATTGGTGTTATTGGTGGATGAGCAGCACTGGGCACTAGGTTAATAACTCCTTTTTCTAATTAGTATCCATAGAAGAAGGTCACTCATTCTCTACAATCAGCATGCCCCAATCTGGAGAATTAGAATTCCTTATCTACCCAATAGGGTTGTTTAAAGAATTATATAATCTCTGGGAATTCCAATAAAGCTTCACCCAATTCAATAACAATAAAATAATGCACTAACTGGAATTTCAACTAGTATGATTTTTTTGGTAAATGTTCTACAATATGCATTTTGTAGGCCAGGAGCTGCATTAAATCATATTGAGAAATGCATTATTTTGAGATAAAATACATTTAGAAATATTACTCTAAATAGTATTTTGATGTATATTTTGAAGGCATTCTGTTTAAAATACATAGGAGGGAATGAATTTATGAGTAAAACAAGTAGTATGGATCGAAAATTATTTGTCTTTCTGTCAATGCTGCAAATATTGTATATTCTTGCTTTTGACAATATGCAGAATTGTCTGGTATTTATGGAGTTAATACAGAGCAGAAGGGGGGTGGGGGTAAAGTCCGGAAAGAAAGAGGAAGAAAACCTTTGACCTTTACACTAATTGGATAATGTGATATATGATGGCTAATTTAGGGAGGGAACATGCTGATAATTTAACTGCTCAGAGGAAGAGAACTTAGATCTTAGTATCCTTCCGCTATGCCTGTGCCAACATTTTGCAACAATAAAAGACTTTTAGGAAGATAAATGCCTGGAAGTTCTTTGAAGTGTTTCATTAGCCAGAACCATAACACTTTCATTATATCAGGCATTCCTTATTTTTGTTTATTGATTTCATGTTATTTTATATTGTGTAAAAAATTTTCAAGAGGTTAATACAAGACTATATTTATACTTGTGTGTGGCTGTGTCCAGATAGTTCACTATTTGGCTA